GAATGATTGAAGTTGACCCCGCGTAGTGTGTGCTCTGTCGATGTGGATCTTTGATGTGATTGCAGGTATGTTCTTTGAGTTGGATTCCAAACTTAATTTTCTTTATGATTATATATATAATTTTTTAAGGAATCGACACCGAGATTGTGAGAGTGGATGTCTCCTATCTCATAACTTTTATATTATGTTTTATGTGTCCGTACGACCCGTTGAGGTCGTACGGAGTGATTAAATAAGTTCTGCATCGAGAGAAAATGAAGATCCCTTTCACCTTTTTCTTTTTAGAATTATTGTAGTTGGACATTGAAGTTTGTGGCAGCCGTGAAAATGAAACCCCTTGATTTCTCTCCAGGCTCTGGATGATGGAGCTTGCCTCCAAGGCCACGAGAGTTGGCTGCCACCATAGGCTTGAACCTGTGTACCACCCACTCCTCGCAAGGTGCAGAAGAGGGTGTGGTGATCAACCGCCTTGGCGGTTGTTTAGCGTCGAGAGATTAACCCCTCAAGGCGCGTGTCAGCCGACACTTGAGTGTCGAACGTGACCCTCGAGATCATCGAGGATCGCGTGGTTATGGGTACTACATAGTACTCCATCGATGCGACTCCTTGCATACTCTTGCATTGCTAGTCGATATGACAAAGCCCTAGCGTTCACGCGGTTTTATCTTGAGTCTCGCGCGCGACACTTAAGGTCCGAATGTGGTAGGATTGTTTGGGTTATTACATCCTTTAGCAGATGGTTTAAAATTAATGATAAAAGAGCCTATTCTACCAAGTAGTGCTAATTTATTCATCTTTATAATGGCTCCAGTCATTACATTTATTTTCGTGCTAAAAGGTTATGGGTTGGATACTGAAAGGACTAAGAGAGTTTTTTTTTTGTATGTATTTTAATTTTTGTGTAGTGTAACGTGTGGTGTGTGAAATGCATCCTAGTCGACCGACAATGAGTCGTGCTTGAGACCTCAAACCCCCAATGCGTCGACTCGTGTGCGGGTCAGATCTGGGGCGTTAACTGCACGTACCCCCTATGCTACAGCGAACAAGAAACGCCCTCGGTCGGGCCACCTCTGCGATTGCATACAAAAAGTCTTCGCACGTGCTTCGATAACTCAGTGGGATACGCTCACTCAAAGGATTGTGACAGCTCCCGCGGGTGGAGGTAAGTTGTACCTCGCGTAACCCTATCATGTCGTAGGGGTTCGCGAGAGGTATGGCTGACGCACTCGGCCGGAGCGGCAAAACGCTCTGCTACAAAGTCCTACAAAATCCTGCATGATGCGGTCGGGAGGATCCCCTTGTGAGATCGATGCGCTTGACAGCGCAACAGAAAGGCCTCAGGGGTGAGTCGACATGTGGACACAACGCACAGATGCGTCGCTTTTTTTGTCCGGCATAAAGCTTGATGCGGGCTCTTTCTTTCATTCTTTCACCACCTCCGCCCAAAACCTCGCACCCAAACTTGCCACATGTTGCTCCCTTGCAAAACTGATGCTTTGGCAATTAATTTCGTAAAGATCTCTCGACTCGTCGCCTCATTGCACGAAGCTAGTTTCTCTGGTTTCTTTTTTTGTTTGTCTAAATTTCTGGTTTTCTGTTTTTCGAACTCTTTCCCGTTTCTTTTTTTGTTTTTTTCCTTGTTTGCTTTTTTCCTTTTTTTCTCTTTTTCTTTTTTTATTGTCAATTGAAATATTGTTGTCCCCTCGAAGCAGGAGGCATGTGACGTTCCTTTGTGGACAAGGCTTGGGACTTCCTCCCTCCACGACACGTGATCCTGCAATGTGTGTCGATCCTGCTCTCTTAGATGTATGTATGACCTTCATTGTGCAAATTATTCACTGTGTTTTTCGAACCATCTCATCACTGTGACTGCGATTGTGGATGACTCTGTGATTGTTAGTATCCCATCGCTACGACGGGTGAGTACAATAAGTGCCCTTGAGGCTTTCTTGTGACTACGACACGCGGCACTCCTTTGCAATGACGGGTCGAGACCCCCCTCCCCCTCCCGACAGCGCGGCATGCGGTCTCGCAGCATGCACCGCAACACCGGTTTTCCTTATGATGTATGTACATTCCCCTCTGTGTCGTCAGCAGTTGTGAATCGTGCGACCCATCTCACCACCATGAATGTGGTTTATATCATTCGCTTTGCGTTTTGTAAATCATCTCACCACCGTGTATGTGATTTGTATTCGGTTATGAAATGTATGGTTGTTATCAGTATCTCATAATACGTTAAGAACCCCGTAGAGTAGGAACCCCGTTGGCACTCTTATAACTACGACGCGTGGTGCTCCTTCGCAATAATGAGTCGAGTTCCCCTCCTTCCCCTCCTTCTCCTCCTCCTCCTCCTCCTCCCCTTCCCCCTCCCGTAGGCACGACACGTGGTTTCGCAGCATGTATCGATTTTCCTCATGGTGTGTGTATGTCCTCCTTTGTGCGGTCATCAAGAGTAAGTTTGCAGGTCATCTCTCCACCTTAAATAGGAATTTGGAGGCACAAATAAATCTTTTTTCGGTCGTTTATCCGTCACTAAGTGATTTTGGATAAATCATGAAGCCCTACGACTTTTTAGATTATACGTCAGCTCATATCGTTTTTCTCTCTCGCCCCCTTTCCTCCCCTCTCTCTCTCTCTCTCTCTCTCTCTCTCTCTCTCTCTCTCTCTCTTCGGTTCCTTCCCCTTGTTTTACGCTCTGCGCTAGTAACCACTTATATAGTTAGAAATTAGGACTAGCACCCAACTCTTAGCTCGAACCACCAAATAAAGAGAAGCTGCGGAGAAACAATACGTAGGCAGAGTGCCGTGGTATTCCGGATTCAACAATTAACTTGTTTATGCTATGCACCTTGATCCGTCTGATATATATGTGTATATATATATAGAGATATATATATATATATATATATATATATATTTTTGTATTTCTTACGAAAAAATGACGCCTGTCTCTGATCACGACAGATCCATGTCCAATCCTTCCTCCTGGCCTATAGGTAGTCTTCGAACGTTGAGGATCCCCGTGACACCCCTCTTGATTTCCTTCGGAGCCATACAACATCCTTTAAGGACGTATCGAGAATTTTTTAATTATGCGTAATTATCTAATCAAGCATGATTAGCCTTAGCAACTGATTATTGATAACACCCCACTCCTCCGAACGCGCGTGTCATCTTGGCCATATGAACCATCCATTGCCTAAAGGGAAGAGTTGTTCAGACCATTGGAAGCGTCCATGAACCACTTATTGAAGTAAGCTCCAGAGCCCTCTATTCTCTGGGAGAGACTTCTACATCGCAACGAAGAGCATTCGCCCCCTACCAGGATTCCGCAGTGTGTCGGCCAAGCCAATGTCAGAGCTCAACCATCCACAATTTAAACTTGGTATGGGGTGTGTAACGTGCACCAGTGCCGACATTGTGAACATGACTGGCACCGGTCACCTGTCCGTGACCGGCTGGTCACCAGGCTTGAAATCCGTGAACGGCCGTTCACGGGGGCCGTTCGGCGGTACGGTCGGGATGGGGGCGGGAGGGGGGGGGGGCGGGGCCCTTCTGCACCCCCGTACCTTCAAATCAAAAAAAAAAAAAAAAAAAAAAAAAAAAAAAAAAAAAAAAAAAAAAAAAAAAAAAAAAAAAAAAAAAAAAAAAAAAAAAAAAAAAAGGGAAGGGGGGGAAAAGAAAAAAAAAAAAAAAAAGGTGGGGGGGGGGGGGGGGGGGGGGGGTTGGCGCAGGGCCCTCAAAGAGAAGCGCCATGAAGCGGGAAAAAAATAAATAAATTCGGGGTGTCAGGAACACCCCACATAGCACCTATACCAACCCCTCCCCCCTAACCCCCCCACCCGCACCCCTACCCACACCCGAACCCCCCATGCCCAACCTCCCTTCCCTCGCAACACCCGCTACCCCAAAACACAACCCCGCCCATTATCCTGCTTCGGGCCCAAATCCCCCCGCAACTGCAATCCTCACAAACTACCACCAACGCACCCCCTCCAAATACCTTCCCCCACCCAAACCCTCCATGCCCAAAACATGACCCCGACCCTTAACCCGCGTCGAGCCCGAATCCCCCAACACCTACACCCCTGACCAAGTGGCACCGACGCACCAGACCCCCCACCCCCCCAACATTTCCAGATACCCCTCACCAAGTGGCTTTAAGGCCAAGTAACCCCTCCTTCCACATTCCCACATACCCTCAGTGAACCCATGTTACCCCTCCTCCCACATTCGCAGACACCCCTCAGTAAACCCATGTTACCCCCAATTGAGGCCACATACCCCCCCCCCAACATTCCCAGATACCCCTCCTCCCACATTCCCACATACCCCTTAGTAAACCCATGTTACCCCTCCCCAGACATTCCCGCACACCCCCCCCGCAAACGCAACTTACCCTCGTCCCCACGAAATTGAAAATTTCTCATAAAATACATGAAATTGCAATCATCAAACAGAAGCCTGAGTTGAAGATAGTAGAACAAACCGTAATACACAAACACAAAAGCCACAGTAAGAAAAAAAGTGAACAATGAAACTACCAAGTAACTGAAAATGTGAACAATAACTGAAAATAAAACAACAAAACAAGAAGAAGAACGAAACATGTAAAACTCTAAATGAAGAAAGATATACACAAACATCATCGAAGACGAATCGAGGGCCCGGTCTACGGCGCATCGCACTGCCCGTCGTCTGTGTCATCGTCGTCGATGATGCGCTCTCGCCACCTGTGCAGCACCGTCGCCGCCGTCTCCTCTCCCTACCCCCTCCACTGTGACGCAGACACGGTGTGACTGGCAACCGCTGTGGCTGCCACCCTCTCTGCCTCCTGGACCTCTCCCTCTCTCTCTACACCCCTTACAACAGAACGTCCCAAAATGCCAGTCAGGGTCGTGTATGTCTTCCTACTTCTAGGCATGGGCACCCCATCCGTCGTGGAATCCTCCGTGCGGCCCCCAACAGCTCGGCGAATGTCCAGTCCTGTCGTTGTGTGACGCCGAAGCTCTTCATTCAGTATCCTGTGTGCTGTCCAAAGACAAGCTCCACGGCTGGTCTGCAATGTGACAGGATCAGGGGCATCCGCTAGCAATGCGGGGGGGAGTCGGCCACCCGGCAAAGCACGTGTGGAAGGTCACCCTTTCGGACGTCGCTGACCATCTCGTTGTTCCGCACCTGCTGTGGGCGGTCGTGACAGTGGTGCAACCATCTTGTCGCCCGGTCGCACAGCAACACACGAACGACCCGGCACCAGGATGCTCCAACCTATCTCCCTTCCGTACCCAGCCTGCTGCGTCCGCAAGCATCTCTGTCAACCTCCCCCCACGATTCCTCCTCTCACGCGTAACCCCAGGCATAGCATCCTTGAGTTTGCGGGTGACCCTGTTGATGCCGCTCCATGATACGGACTTCCCCTTCGCCTTCGAGGGAGGTGATGGAGAACCCTGCACATGCCTGCGCCCTCCTGCCGTCGCCGCTGCAGCAGCACCCTCTCCTTCACCAACACTCCCGCCCGAAAGGCCCAAGCGTCCGCCGATAACTGTGGGACCGCATTCGCCGCCAACAACACTGCCACCAGACTCGCCTCCACGTCCACTCAAAGCCCCTGCACATGTCGGTCGTGTCCCTGCAGCGACTGACCCTGCTCCCCATGATACCCCTCCCAACTCAATAACCCTCTGACCTGTCAATTGCTCGAACAAGTCGGCCATCTCCATAGACCTCCCAATATCCCCCGATACCCCCGAGGGTACTGGCGGACTAACAGGCACGAAAGAAGATGGAGGCACAGCCTTCCAAAGCCTCTTCGATAAATGTCTGCTCCTGCCCATCACTGGATCAATCCCAGCAGTGTGGCGCTCACGTGGGGACATGGTGGGCGCGTGTGCCTCAACGGTGGCTGCAACAACGTCCTCGGGGTCCACCTGTCGCTCCTCCTCGTTGCGATGTGCAACCACATCATCCACCGCGACATGACCATCCTGAGGGTGATCTGCGACCACGTCCTTCATTGCGGCAACGCCGACAAGTGCTCTATCCACCTGCCCCTCCACCTTCGTGCCATCGCACCCAAGCAACCCCCCTGTGTCTGTCGTGGCCACACCGTTGCCCCCGTGCGCCTCATCAGTAGTGGGTAGTCTCGGGGCCATAAAAACCACCCAACCCTACCCCGACATCCTTCTTATCCCCGTATGCACGATCGACCACGTGTTCCTCCGTGCAGAATCCGCCACCATCTACAACATTTGCAGAACCATCGTGTGTACACCCTGCTGCTAATCTCGCGGCAGTGACCTCCTCCACAGTACACCCCATCTCCCTCGCCCTGGTCGTGTCCTGCTCCAACAAAAGCCGCTGTGTCGTGGCACACCCCGATACCATCCGTCTTAAATGCTCCTCCTCAAGCACGTCCTTGGGGTTCATGTCTAGCCTTCTGGCAACATCTCGAACCGGCGACACAGGCATGACGTCGTCACCATTCCTGCCCTCCTCTGTCTCGCGTGACGTTGTAGCAGCCTCTGTCAACATCCCCGAACTCGCACCACCAAAAATCGATCCTATATGGTGTGCAAAATCGCTCGCCGGTGTCCGAACACACACCCCACCGTGCGGGCATTTGAAGTGGGTACACGTCCAACGTCGAAGTCGTCCCTGAAAATGCCAGAGGGAATCGATCCCTGCGGTACCTCCAAACCAAATCCCTGCCCGCCGCTAACACCCCCGCGCCCACTGCACCAGGGCCAGGAGTAACAAAGGAGGTGCCCCCCGCCCCGTCCTCAAACGGCCCACCACCGTCGCCGCTGCCGAACCCATGCTCACCCCCATCTCGAAGGTGCTGTCCATCTCCCTCTCTCTCGTCGCCGGAGTCCTCATCATCGGCGACATCTCCATCGTCACCTCCATCGTCACCTCCATCGTCCTCGCTCGACGATCGCACAACCTGTGTCTGCTTGCGCCCTCTCGCGACCACACTCCTAGTCAAGGGAGGGCTCATGCGATCGGGATGGCAATGGCTCTACCGATCCCGCGACCGCATATCACTGGCAGCCCCATGATCACTCTGTCTGCCGGACTACTCACCAGCATCAGGTGTGTCACTGCCTCCCTGCTCCAAGTCCTCCGGGTCCATCCACGCCTCTGCCTCCATCTCGTCTGCCGCCTGCGGGTCCGTGGGGGGATCATACTCGATCTCCTTGCCGTACAACTCGATATGAGCTGCACGGCGACCAAACACAGTCTGAACCGAAGGAGGGTCAAGGCACGCTGCATCTTGAGCGCCTGGCGCCTGATCTCCTCGTCCGTCAATGACCCCGGAGGCAGAGTACCTGATTTGCGCGACTCTGGGGCGTCGTCCAACCCCTCCTCAAGATCACCCCACGTCAGTACATGTCCCCTCCTCCTCTGTCTACAGGTCAGGAGCTTCTTGTTCGCACACATCTCCACCATTTTAGTCAGCTTCGTGAAGTCCAACCCGTTGCGGCGCTTCTCGTGGATACGCTCGTGCAATGCCTAGTTCCTCTCCGCGGGAGAGGCGCAGACCCACGTGTACATCAGACGTGTGGCGATAGCACAAAGCTCAGGGGCACAGTCGCCGTGCAAAACCCACCAATCAGCAATGGTCTGTGTCTCAACCAGCCCCTCGCACGTGTCCTCGTCCACAGTGCCTACATCTCCACCCCAATCATACCTTGGCTCGCGCGCGTGGAAGTCGTACAACGCTGACGGACCAACATGTACCTCTCCCCCCGTCGGTCGAAGCGCGTCTGTGTGTAGATGTACTCGAGTGTCATCTGCGCCACCTTCTTCTGTTGATCGGTGCAGTCCGAAGACTGGAAGTAAACAAAGTTCCGCCTCTTGGGATTGAGAAGATAGGCGGCAGCATGGGCGGGCTGTAGCAGATGGCATGCACGGGCGTAACACTCCTGCAGCATGCCAACCAGGCGAGGTCTCGTCGACTCCAACTTTCGAATCTCCTCGGCCAACTGGGTCACCCACCAGAAGATGCAAGAGATCACCAACCCCCCTTGGTCCAACCTCCTCAACAACTGCACGACCAGGATGAAGACATCGATGAGATCATCCATCTCCTCCCAAAATAGCCCGCATCGCACCTGCGTGCGCACCCACCCGTCCTGCCCGAGCAACTTCCTCTCCCATGGAAGTCGAGTCCACTCCCCCTCCAACATCATCGTCTCAAGTGCAACCCTGCGGCCGAGCAACCTCTCCATCATGATGTGCATAGAGGCGAATCGCGTCTGGCAAGGGTACAACAACTCTCGGCCGCATCGTGCTCTGCCTGCTGTCCCCTCTCCGGCGGCGGCACTGCCACCCACACGGTCCACCCGTGTATCGCAATCGGCCTTGACACTGTAAATCCTGAACAACGGGAGAGCCGATCCGTGAGATCTAATGAATCGGACAACTGCCCTCTCCCTGGTCAACAACTCGATGGCCCATGTTTTGTCCTTGACCATGTCTGACAACATCAAGTTGTAGCAATGGACAAAACAAGGGAGCCAAGGGATGCGGCAAATATCTGGATCGGGATCGTTGCAAAGCGCTCGACCGGCGGCAACATAAACTGATGCAGAGTCTGTGTAGATGGCGTTGATGTTTTTCGCGTCGAACTTCTCAAACACCTTCTTCCAGCGCTGCAAGACGACGTCTGACATCTCTGCGTCAACCCCTTCCCTGCGCACTGTCGTGAAAAGGAAGGCACTCGACTGTCCTGCTGCCAGGAAGTTCACGATGGGCTCTGAGTTCAGGGACTTCCTCCCATCCGTGAGGATGGTAGCCGCTGTGTGTTGCATCTGCTCGCGTATGTCACGTAGCTTATCAGCTATGTACGCACGCTCCTCCTGTATGCCACTGCCTACTATGCGCTTGTACTGGGGCAAAGCAGGCTTCATGCCCCTGGGCTGCTGGGCATATTCTGCAGATGTTTCGTGAGGGCCCTGTACTTGGGCATCCTCGCCCTCTCAAATGGGACACCGCCAATATACCACCACTGCAGGAAGAGATGGTCGAAGGTGGCCTGCCACTCCGGGTCGTACAACTCATCCAATCTGACCTGCTTCAAGCGTTTCGTGTCCGGAACGCTTGCCGCAGGAGCAGTGTCCGCCCTCCTCTTCCCACGACCATCCATAGTCGCACGAGGCCTCGTCTGATGAGGAGTGTGTCCCACCTTGAATGCTCCCCGCTCCAGGGACGCTCCTAACTCCTACACATCGCCCTCACCGCCGCCCTCCGTCGGTCCCTCGCCCTCTGCCCCTGTGCCCATCTCATCGTCCTCGCCGCCGCCGTCCGCCCCCTCCCTGTCCAAAATATCCTGCATCCTTCGGCACGCCAACTCCCACATCTCTGTTATTCCGGATGCCACGATACTTCATGGAATCCCGCACCTCTCTCTCTCGCCGCTGGTCGAAACGGTACAGTGTCATATTCCAAATGTCGACGAGTACCTCTGGTGTCACCCTCGGGCACCTACCTTTCGTGAAGTGCTCGACCCCCCGCATCTAACTTCCCTGAAAAGGGGGTTTGTCGCAAAATTGACACTTCATCTTGAAGTTCCCCTTGCAACTCCGCAGCATCTGACTCTTCGTCAGGTACTTGAAAATGCAACACTGGCGAATTGCCTCGTGCTGGTCGTCCTCGCAGACCGGCACGAAGGGCTCCTTAGCGCCCTCCCCTTCCCCCTTTCTCAATTTTTCATCCATTTTGCCCTTTGAGACCCCCCCCCCCCCCCCCCCCCCCCCCCCCCCCCCCCCCCCCCCCCCCCCCCCCAGTCATCGTCCGCAGACCTCTCCTCTGGATTGCCTTGTGTCCTCGTTCGCTACTGATTTTCTGATCTGCGACCGCTTCCCGACGTCCTGGCGCTGCTGAATGGTGTCCCGACAGGTCGCTGCGAGTCCGGGGTACCCCGCCCGAAAGGGTCCGCGCCCGAAAGGGCCGATGACGGTCGCCGCCGCAGCGCGTTCACGCTCCGTTCACAGTCCCGTTCACCCACGCGAACGGGCGTGGACGGCAACAGGACTTCGTTCAAGATCGAGATATTGACGGTCAAGAATATTAACACCATTAGTGCAAGCACTAGCGGTAGCAAACGGGAAGGCCGAAAAGAAAAGAAAAAGTAAAGAAACTTGAGATGGGAGGCATGAGAGCAATCCGAAAAATCTCGGATCAGCCTCCGTCAAGAAAATTGAGTCAAAAGAGACCCCATGTGAAAAATAGTCCCCCGGGAGAAAATCGGAATAGGAGGGGTCACTATAGGCCTCCCTCAAGAAAATGGAGTCAAAAGAGCCCCCCTGTGAAAAATAGCCCCCTGGGAGAAAATCGGAATAGGAGGGGCCACTATGGGAGGAAAATAGAAGTAAAGGGAAACTCCCATGGGCATGAGAAGGCCATTATTGCAGTCCGAGATATAACGGACTGCACCTTGGGCATAGGAAAGGCCAAAACTAAGAGGAAGGGGCTAGAAAAGAGCCTTAACGACCACTTGACACTTGACATGCTAGAAAAAAAAAAAGTAAAGAAAAAAAAATGTGGGAGAATAAGACAAGAAGAGTGAGAGGGAGTGAGTGAATTGGCCGTCAGTAGGGACTGCCACAAGTAGGGACTGCCACAAGTAGGGACTGGCAGGTCCCTACTGTCCAAAAAAGGAGGAAAAAAAAAAAAAAAAAAAAGAGAAAAATACCTCAACGGTAAAAAACGGTCACTTGGGGAGATACATCTGTGACCAGATTCATTCGGGAATATGGTGGTTGCAATGGGCTTTGATTTTCTTTGATTTTTGTAGAGAAAATCAAATAAAATCAAAGCCCCATGCAACCGAAAAATAACGGATTACATAGGGGAGGAGAAACACATGTTTTTGGTGCATCCGGAACCAATATTGAGCCCAGACGCATTTAGAAATTTAATGCTTCATTTTCTTTTAGTATGGGGCAAGTTGTGGGGTTGTGGGAGTAGAAAAATAGCCATGACTGCAGTCCGAGAAATAACGGACTGCATGGGGATGCCTAAGGCTAAAAGAAAATGGGCCACGGCAAGCCCAAAATGCTAGAAAGAGGCAATTTCGGCATGGGAGACGGTAAACGGCGACCGTGAGATGAGATCTCACGGCCTAGAAAAATCAGCACGCATGTAGAGATGATAGGACCACCAAGGGCAAGAGGGCCCCAAAAATAAAAATGGGACACCGTCCGGAATGTTGTTGGGGACCGAATGGGTCCAAATAATAAAAGTCGAAAAACGGGACACGCGTCGGCGGGACCGCCAGCGGGACAAGAAAATGGAACTAGTATGAAGAAAAGTGGCGGGGACTTGGGATGTCCCAGGGGAACCATGAGCAAGCACAATGAATAACTGTGCAAGCAAACGACACCGTCGAGATCAAGGATCTAGACGGTAGGGAATATTAGCACCACTAGTGGGGGCAAGTGGGAGAGTCATGGGGAAAAAGGAAAGTAAAATAATGGTGTGGGAAGGCTGCCCAGCAGTCCGAAATATCTCGGACTAGCTAGGCATGATAAAATAGAGCCTCAAGAGGCTCAACATGAGAAAAAGGCTGTCCTTAAAAAATCGGAGCAAAGGGGGTTCAAAATTGGACAAACAGAGGTAAAGTGGAGCCCTCTAGGAGCATGGGGGTGTCAATGCCATTGTTGAAATCCGGGATATAACGGCCAAGTACCAGCTATGAACATGGCCTTGAATGAGACCCTAAGGCCTAGAAAGAGGGTGCACAGAAGTTCGACACTTGTCACAACTGAAATAAAAGAAAAAGAAAGAAAAATAAGAGAAAAACAGGGAGAAAGACAAAAAGGAAGAAAGAGTAGAGGAGAGTGTGCCGGTCTATTGGGACCTGCACAGTAGGGACTGGCAGGTCCCAACTGTGACCTTATCCCTCCTAGAATGAGGGAGGGCAATCTGGATTGCAGAGATATGGCCCTTGAGTCATATCTCAATAAAATCTGAATTAAAAAAAAAAAAATGAGAGAAAATAAAAAAGAGAAATGACCGGTTTTATTTTGGACCATGGATCTGAAATCAGATCTCATGGTGGAGAGGAACTAGCCGTTTTTTGTGGGCCAGCTCAAAACGGCTAGGTCCGGAATGAGGTGGCAGCCCAAAATGGAAAGAAACAAAAGAGGGAAAATGACGAAACTGTGCATTTGCCCCAAAAAGAGAGCCAGATGCACCAAAAATAAAAAAAATGACTTAGGGGTTCGAAATTGAAGCAAGGGCTACTAGGGGGTGGCACAAAATATTGTTGGCATTGGATCTCAGCCAGTTCCAAGGTTGAAAATATGCCGCGGCATGGAAAAATACCTCGATCTACCAAAAATGGGGTATAAACTGAAAAAAATCGAGAAAAAGGCTTATTTTTTTTTTTTTTCTCAAGTAAAATTGCCCCTTGGGCATTAGGACCCAAGGGGGTAGCATTTGTGAGGTGAAAAGGAGGCCGGAGTAGGCCAAGAGGCAATCCGAGTCGGTACCAACCACTCGGACTGCATGTTGGCCAAAAAGAGGCCCGGGTACCTCTGAAAGGGCCTATTAGTGGAATTTTGCCTTGGGGGTACCTCGGTTCACCTCAAGGCACATGGGGAGGCTCATGGGCTGGCCGGACTGCTGGTTTCAGCCTACATAAGCTGGGAATTCAGTCCGCCACATTCACAATTGCATGAGGAGTGCCCATGCTGCCCAAGTGAGCTCATAGGACCACTCTTTCACTTGGAGAGAGGAGAGGGGAACCCATGCCAGTTTAGGAGCTTGGTGGAGGCCATGAGCTAGGGAGAGGAGCCCTAGAGACTAGTGAATAGGGAGGCTGGCACTGGGGAGGTGATCCGCCATAGCCCCCCTGGATGAGAGGAAGAGAGAGAGGCTAGAGGGAGTCCCATTAGCCTTCCTAGAGGGGAGGACTCCATAGCTATGGTGATTGGAGCTTGTGGTAATTCGGGAGAAGGTGGGAGAGGAAGGAGAGAGGTTTGAAGAAGAAGAAGGTCATTGCCAAGAATGTGCTTTGTGTAAGGAGGAGAAAGCCTCATCAAGATTGAGACTCCATCTCCAAGACATTAACAAGGTGAGTGGAAGGAAGAGAAAACTTCTTCTCCTTCTTCTTCTTCTTAATGTCAGTGGAAGGAAGGAAAAACTTCTTCTCCTTCTTCTTATTCTTCCTTTTCTTCTTTTTCCCCTTCTTCTTCTTCTTCTTCTCCCTCTTCTTCTCCTTCTTCTTCTTCTTCTTCTTCTTTTTCTTTTTTTTCTTCTTCTTCTCTTTCTCCGCCTTCTTCTTCACCTTCTTCTTCTTCTTCTTCTTCTTCTTCTTCTTCTTCTTTCTTTCTTATTCTTCTTCTTCTTCTTCTTCTTCCCTTTCATCTTCTTCTTCTTCTTCTTCTTCTTCTTCTTCTTCATCATCTTCTTCTCACTATTGGGCTACTCAAGGTCTTACATTTCACTTACACACTAGTCGGAGATGTTCCGATTCTTCCATGGATGATCTCATGTTCAATCTTTGTGTTTTGAGCTACTTCAACTCTTGCATTTCACTCACATGCTAGTAGGAGATGCTCCGATTCTTTTATGGTTGATCTCATGTTCATTACTTGTGGTTTGGACTAGTGTAGATCTTATTTTTCACACACATGCTAGTAGGAGATGCTCTGATTACTCTATGAATAATCTCATGCTCATTACTTGGGATTTGGACTAATGTAGATCTTGCTTGTCACTCACATGCTAGTAGAAGACCCTCCAATTCTTTCATGGATGATCTCATGCTCATTACTTGTGGTTTGGACTACTGTAGATCTTGTTTTTCACACACATGCTAATAGAAGATGCTCCGATTATTCTATGAATGATCTCATGCTCATTACTTGGGATTTGGACTAGTGTAGCTCTTGTTTTTCACTCACATGCTAGTAGGAGATGATCCGATTCTTCCATGGATGATCTCTTGCTCAAATCTTGTGATATAGCCTAGTGTAAATCTTACATTTCACTCACACACTAGTATGAGATGTTCCGATTCTTCTATAGATGATCTCATGTTCAATCTTTGTGTTTTGAGCTATTTCAACTCTTGCATTTCACTCACATGCTAGTAGGAGATGCTCCGATTCTTTTGTGGTTGATCTCATGCTCATTACTTGTGGTTTGGACTAGTGTAGATCTTGTTTTTTACACACATGCTAGTAGGAGATGCCCCGATTACTCTATGAATGATCTCATGCTCATTACTTGTGATTTTGACCAGTATGGATCTTGCTTTTCGCTCACACACTAGCAGGAGATGCTCTGATTCTTCTATGAATGATCGCATGCTCGTTACTTGTGATTTGGCCTAGTGTAAGTCTTGATTTCCACCCATATGCTAATAGGGAATACTCCGAATTTTCCATAGATAATTTTGTGCTCAA